ATTAAGTGAAAGTTGAATAAGAAATAATTAAAATATAATTATTAAATTTTAAGGAATTAATAAATTAAATGTAATATCTCATGTATCTATTATTTCTCAATGTATTAGTCATTTCATTTGCCCGTTAACTTATTTTAACTATTTTATAGGCCTGAATATATTTTGGGAGATTTAAATATCAATGTTTAATTTTTTAATACAATGGCAACCTTTTTGTTAACTATAATTGTTTTATAATCATATAACATTGGTATAATGTTTTACTACTTACTTATCATAACTTCTAACATTTTCAGTTCAATATACAAATATGCACATATGTACATCAAACCCAAAAATTATTCGATCAGAAGTGGAAAACATGAGAGATGATTTTAATAATAGGCTAACCCAAATACTGTTTTCTTCTTTTTTTTCAGCATATTATGCATGCTTTTTGCCACTAGTATTTGTACAAGTATGTTATTTTATTGTTTTATCAAACACATAGTACTTCATCATTTTCTGATTTTTCAAGTGTGAATCTGTTTGTAGTGGATATTAAAAAAATATTTGTCCACTATTGACAAAATAAACCATATAGATACCTCTTGGCTGGTCTGTAAGACTATTTACAATTGTCTCGTCTGTTATAGAGATKTTACACTGTTAAGAGGTGTCTGTATTTTTTAAATAGGTATTTTACTATATTAGCATCTATAGAAATACAACTAATCAATTACTTATAAAAATCAGTATATTGTGTTTTACCTACTACATTCATAATTATTTTAGAGGGAAATTATCCAAGTATAAACTATGTTATAAAGTATTTAAATTTAGCCATACTAATTTAACGCTTGCTCGGATTGGGCTTCTGGGCAATATGAAAGTCTTATATATCAAAAATTRACTAACAATTCTAATAATATCATATTGGTTTTTGTTTTTACTGATAATTCAAATTTCAAATGTTTTTACGTACACAAGTTTTAGTCTTGATTAAATATTAACCRTCACTTACTGTTTATTTTGTAACAATTTTGATACTATGCAGTATCTACACCTAATTTTAAAATTTTATTCATTGTTTAGATAATTTCCCTTTTTAAGTTAAATAATATATATATWTWTTTTTTTTAATTGAATTGTTTGTATGTAAATATATTTTAGACATATGTGGTTTATGAAGAACATTGGGTGTTAATGCATTTTCCTTTTGTAATGATGACTATGGGCATGATGTTATGTATACATTATTATCCTGTTAAGTAAGGAATTGTCTAAACTAATAAAATTCAATTTAAATATTTATTTTGGAGAAAATAATTTTATTTTATATTGTACTATTTATTATGTGGAGATTTAAAACTGACTTCAGTTACAGTTATWAATTSTAATATGCATAGGTATTTCGATCACTTACACAAAGCAGCTATGCACTTGGGTCGTTGGAAGAGAGTAAAATTAGATCGCCCTCATTTGCCCATACACTTGTAAGTATCAACAATTATTTGTTCTTGTGTTGGTGTTCAACTWATAGAATATTTTAGATGGTCAGAAGAAGTGGTATGGCAACAAGGATCATTAGTTCGACATAATCAATGTTTGTATAAGGCTGAAGGAGTATCRAATGTAGCTGAACCAGGAAAAAATGCTGATAAAGTTTTTTATGTAAGTACACATATGTTAGGAATGTAATAAGTTTTCACCAATCTTTTTTTCATTTTTTATAGAGAATTTTCAGTAATCCTTCAGAAACGATATTTTTCACATTGGCTTCTATGCAAGTATCATTTATGATAGTATTGATTATTGCATTGGTCATAAGTTTTCAATGGCATCACATATTTTATCTTTCATTTGTAATGCTATTAAATTATGTTACGCTGTGTAAGACTTTATTTAATTATCGTATGACTGCCAAGATATACAAATTGCTGAAGGAAAAAACTCAATAGAAAATGTTCTGAATTGAGAAAACCTTAATGTTGGACTTTTACATATTTTTTTTTTTTTCATCCATCAGTTGTTTGAATATAAGTGTGTTTAATAACTAAATAATGAAAAACTATTAAYTTGTGTTAGATTTAAATTGTATTATAACATAAGATTTGAATATTATTTTATCATGTACAGTATTTAAAGAAAATTCCTTTGCTTTGCTCAAATCGTGAATATTTTTAGCAAGAATAATTGTGATTTTCTTACATTCTTTTTCCAACAATTATATTATTAATAGTGACGTTATAAAGTTCCTCAATTTTTTTGTATTTTTTTGTTTTCAATATTTACTTAGTACACAATTCTAGTCAAAAAATTGTATTAATAAATTAGTACTTAGTTACAAAATAAAGTTAATGATATTGTATCTACCTCCTTTAAAAAAAAAAACAAAAAATGTTATATGATGTAAATCATTCATTTCACATTTTGTTTTTATTCAATGTTTTTAATTTGTATTTATTAAMATTAATGATTTAGAACTAAATTAAATTAGGTACTAGTATTTTGAATTTATATTAGACGCTGAACAAGATAGACAAATATAGTACTTCAATAATTATATTACATACAATTAAAAAAACTGTTGAGCATATTGTATTGTTTTTATTAATGAATTACCTATTTAAGGGGTTTTATTTCATTATACAAAAAGCCTTCCTTGGTACTGAGCGAAATATTAATTAAAATCTGTTTTTGTTTATATTAAAATTTTCTAAAAATAGATTTTAAGTCATATTCTTAGGGCTCACATTTGACAAACATCTTACATAGGGCCCACAACTAAAACTAAAGCGGAAACAAGTTAACTCCAGGCTGAACCTCCTTAGACCCCTTTTAAAATTAAACTATCCCTAACAAACAAGGTGACAATATATAAAGCGATAATCCACCGGTCTGGCTCTATGGTATTCAGCTATGGGGGTCTTCAAAGCCTTTCAATACCAGAACTCTACAAACTTTTCAATCAATATATGCTTACGCCTAATAACCTCCGCCCCTGGTACATAACAAATAAAAATCTCCACAAAGATTTAAATCTACCTATCCTTAACAATTTGGCCAAATTCTTTTCCAAACTCCACACTCATTTTAATCCTTTAATCCAAAAATTATCCTCTGCAACACACGCTCCCAAAAGACTAAAAAGGCTGTGGCCCCGGGCCATGATAAAAGAATAAAATACAAAAAAAAAAAACTAAACCAAATAATTAACTTAATGTAATTTCTTGTTAGGTGGCACTACTGAGGGCCTTCCTTTTCTAATATTCTTAATGTCATATAAATAAATTTTGTCATCATACTTACTGATTATTGTAAAATAAGATAGTAAATATATTCTTCTTAATAAAAAAAAAGTCATATTCGAATTTCAAATATTTAACAACCTAAAAACATGTATTGGAGCCTAGTTTTTAAGCCAAAATATAGTTCAGAATAGTGATTTGTATTGATATAAAATTAAAAGCAACATTAAATTAACATATTCACTAATAATTATAATAAATAGAAAATCAAGGTTAAAATAAAGATCAAACATTTTCGAAAAACCTGTTCTTGGTAATTCTAAATTATACAAATGCTTMCATATTCATTAAATTGTTGCTAATAGTATTTTTTTATCATATTTTACTYAAATGTATATTTAAAAATAAAACCAAACAACATACCAAAACTACAAAAAAATAAATTTAATAATTACTTTTAGTAAACAGAAAATGTATAAGTCTCAAGTCAAATTTTTTTTTTGGCTTGTATTTTTGTTACTTTTCATGTCTCCACATTGATGATAACTTTGAGTCCTAAAATATTAAGTAAAATAATTGTAATATATAATTAAAATAAATATAATTAATAATATTTTATTAAATTAATTTACTTGAACAATAATGTTGGCTGCAGCAAGTTCATCCCTTAAAGTATCACAAAGTTTAAGTATATCTTGTTTATTAATTTCAGACTTAGATTCTAATGCTAACTGTCTAAGTTTTGCTCTAAAATTTACTGCGGCATCAATAACTAAACTATTTTCAGCATCAGACTTGAACTAAAAACATAATTATTTCAAATAAAATAATTATTAATGCATTGATTATAAGTTTAAAAGAAAAAAATCATTACCTTAGTTGTAGTTAAATCGATCCCAAATGACTCTAATGTTTTAAATACTATATTTAACGCTTGAATCACTTCCAAGTTTGAACAATTAAAATTGAAGTCCTAAACAAAATCATACTYTTTTTACTGGATATATATAATTAATTTAAAATATATAAAAAGGTTAAACATTACCACTGTAAGTAATTTGTTGAATGTGTTAATGAGCTCAATAAGTAAATTTAAAGTTTTCGATGTATTAAAATTATCTGCTAAATTGATTAATATATCATTTTCAATATCAGACATTTTCTGAAATAAAAATGATAAATTAARGTGGCAAAAGATTTGTTTTATTCCAATTTCATARTTTACTTACTTTTAATAATGTAATATCAGGAATATGTTTACTGCTGTAAGTATTTAAATGAGCATAACAATTGGCGATGAAAGAATCAAATTTTTTTAATACTCCACATGCTACGTCCATTGTACTATCATTAAATTCCAAATCTAAAATTTTTAAACAGGTGACAAATTATAAAACAAAATTGTTATGATCTTTCTAGAAGTATTTATCAGTTGAAATTTGAAAGCTAGTGTCAGAATTTAATTTACCTACCACTTTTGTAATTTGATAATAAACATAATGTTCGAAATTGATTAGCGGTATATGAATTAAGTAATTCTTTAACACTGATGGTGTTCATTAACGATTTTGACATTTTAATATTATCTCCAATATGCAAATGTCCTGAAAAACATTACATTTTATTAGTATTTAATGAGAGAAAGCAAATAATTAAGTAAGAACCTGTATGTATCCAATGTTTGACCCAATCGTCAACATTATGGTATGCACAGCATTGAGCTTCTTCATTTTCATGATGTGGAAATAGCAAATCTATACCTCC